TAAACCCTAAACCCTAAACCGTAATTAGTAAACCCTAAACCCTAGACCCTAATTAGTAAACCCTAAACCCTAAACCCTACACCCCCTAAACCCTAAACCCTAAACCCTAACTCACTCGGGTTTGGTTGAGCGTTGCTTGCAGTTGCTGTATTGTGTTTATATCTTCTTCTCTCGATTGTCTTTCATTATATAATTTTTGCTGTTTCTGTATTTTCTGCTGCAGCAGCAGCAGCTGCTGCTGCAGCAGCTCCTTCTCTGCCTGCTGCTCTTTCTTCATTTCTTTTATTGTGTCTTCGTGCTGTCTCTGAAACCACAAACCCTAAACCCTAAACCCTAAACCCTAATCAGCTGCAGTTGCTGCTGCTGCTGTAGTTGCTGCTGCTGCTGTAGTTGCTGCTGCTGCTGCAGTTGCTGCTGCTGCTGCAGTTGCTGCTGCTGCTGCAGTTGCTGCTTCTGCTGCAGTTGGTGCTGCAGCAGCAACAGTTGCTGCTGCAGTTGTTGCTGCAGCTCCAGTTGCTGCTGCAGCAGTTGCTGCAGCAGCAGCAGCAGCAGCAGCAGCAGCAGCAGCAGCAGCAGCAGCAGCAGTTGTTGTTTGTTGTGTTTATGTATACCTTTAGGGTTTGTTCACTGAGTTTATAAAGTAAATTTGTAGTTTTTTCTTTTTGTTTATTTTCTTCTTCTTTTTCTTTTATTTGCTGCTGCAGCCTTTCTATCTCAGCAGCAAAAGCAGCAGCAGCTTCTCTCCTTTCTGCTGCTGCTGCTTCTAGCTGCTGCTTCTGCTGCTCCAGCTCATTGCTGCAACGATCAAGCTCCTATTAAACACAAACAAGGGTTTAGGGTTTAGGGTTTAGGGTTTAGGGTTTACGGGGGAGAGCTTGCAGCGAGCAACAGAAAAACAATTGCTACCTTTCTAATGGAGGGTTTAGGGTTTAGGGTTTAGGGTTTACGCGTGTAGCCGGTCGAGGGTTTAGGGTTTAGGGGTTAGGGTTTAGGGGTGTAGCTGTTCTAGGGTTTAGGGTTTAGGGTTTAGGGTTTAGGGTTTAGGGTTATACTCGATTAGATGCTTGGAGTTGTTGTTTAATTTTATCGGTTTCTTGGTTTGCTGCTGCAAGTTTTGCTGCTGCTGCTGCTGCTGCTTCTGCTGCTGCTGCTGCTGCTGCTGCACCTAGTTTCTCTATCTCTCTTTTTTGTTTTTCTTTTATCTCTTCTTGCTGCAGCCGGTGGTTGTTGAGAAGAGCTTGCAGCTGCG